GGTTGACAGTAAGGAGAATTATGAATTTGATTTGGGAGTTAAAGGGTTAAGAAGAGAAGTCCTGCTACTCTAGTTAGTACCTCTGTAAACGTACCTTTATAAACATAGAGCAAAAGTTCTGCAACACAAAATACCATAGCATACCAAATGTTCAGAAAGAGAAATATTTGAAGAGGTAAGGATGACAGCTGATGAGGAGAGTTAAGGAATATCTCAGGGTTTTGCTGAAGAAATGTGCGAGTAGAAGACTTCTGTGAAGTAACAGGAGAATCTCCATATCTGTATTCAAAAAAATCTGCACCCTTTAAATTTAGGCAGAGAATTTTGCAGAGTAGTTGGAGAATTCTCCAATTACCAATGCTTAGTACACATTCTGAATAATCTCTCAAGGTATACACAGGAATAGTAATCAGATAAAATAATAACCTAGACAGTCATTTTACTTCAGAATGGGATAGAGAGAGCAGTTGCAACTCTTTATCTAAAGTACAAGTTCTCCTCACGATTACAATACATTACCAAGAATACAGCTGACAAGAACAGATGACCAAGAGGTGTTAAATTCTTTTAAATAATTTATCATCAAGATTTAAATAGCAGCCAGTAAAGAGATGTTTGAATTAGATCACAGGTTATAGAGGGGCTTGCCAAAAAATTCCAAGTCATGAGGAATGTGCTGTGTGGTGCCAGCAAAAATATTGATTCCCTTACCATCAGGGTACTACAACTCCTGAGGACGGAGGGGTCTCAAACAAAATAATTTTCAACAGACAAAATAAATAACTGCAGAATGGTCAGGAAGGGATATAGCAAAAATGATTCTAAGTAAGATAAGAAAAAAAATGCACATTTCGGATCAATATCAGTATCTGGGCAACTGCCCACCTGCCCCTCCCCTAACCCAACATTAACCCTAACTTGTTATCAATTGACTGTTGTTGAGTAAGGGGAGGGGTAGGAGGGCAGTTGCCCAGATACTGATATTGATCCCACACTTCAAGGTGTTTTAAGCCATTTTTGATTGTGAGCAAATATCGCAAAGGAGACAAATAATGCTTGATAAATAACTTAAATTAACTGTTACATATAAAATTGATTTTTTTAAGATTGAAAAATATCAGGGATTGCTCTGAGATATTAACATTGAGCAGTTAAATGTATCTCCTTTCATTTAATCATACAAACTGATATATGAGAAGTTTAAACAATTTAAGGAAAAGGTATAAACACTATTAATCAAAAGATACCTCCATAACCGTCTTCCCTGTAAAACGAAGTGTAATAAAAGCATATGTTATGACTCTGAAATAAAGTTATATATTGTAAACGTTACCCGTTTCTGAATCTTTTCTTTTTTTTTCCTTCAGTGACTAGTTAAGAATTTAAAGTTTCAGCTTGATAAAACAAAATCTCGCAGACAAACATAATTCAACCACTGTTTTACGAGTACAGCACATGGAACCTTCGAATCAAGCCAAGTAATGTTTATTAAAAACAACCACTAAAAGTGTTCAAAGAAAGACAGGGTAATGAACGTACCTCTGTTGTCGCCCGCCATATTTGTTTCCTTGTGAAGGTATCCGCTGACCTGACAGAGACTCTTCGATTCGTTGGTATAGCAACAGAACGTGAAAACGTCACGACATATCATGGCTTCGCAGATTTCCTGAAATTGGAACTAAGAACACAGTGTTTGGAACGCATAGGCGTGGAAAAAGAGGAAACCATGAGCTCCAAAAACAAACCGAAAGCCTCGTCTGCTATTGACGCAGCCAATGAGTTATCTTCACCTTTAGATTTCTCCTTCAAAGCTTTGGAAGGAGTACAAGGTTTGTAAACCATTTGATTTGTTGCCCACGTTCTTTTATTGTCCTCGCGAATATTTGTGATAACTTTTGTCAATCTCTGAAACCTTTGTCACAGATGCCCTGGAAGAAGAACCCAGACCGGTTCGTCACAAAATTGAGGTAAACAAAGCGTAAATTTTGGCCAGTATGGATTTACTTGGGAAGTTTACTCTTATCTTAAAATGTCTATTTAAAAACAAATTATATAATTATCTAGTAAACAATTTCTGCTTTGCAGAGAACTGAAGGATCTGGACAGTTCAAATCAAATTCAGTACGCTTCTGCAATAATAACATCTCGAATCTTGAGAATTTGTCTTCCACGCTGGAACAGTTGTTGGAAAATCCGTTGGAGCTGGCATGGCTCGACTTGTCTTTTAATGATATATCCACCATCGACAAGGTAAGTTTTCACTTCGGATATCAAGACTAACTTTACGATCAAGTTATAACAACATGAAGAAATTCGTACATCCTATGCTGCTGTCCATCAACTGAGTGAGCTGTCTGGGGACCAGTCTCCTTTTCCAGACCTTCAGAGTTTAGGAGAGACCTGGAGGGCACCTTGATGTATGTGCCAACCAGATCTCTATAATTGGACTCCAATTTAAAAGGATTGTACTCTCAATGTGATTCCCTGTTTAAGAGATTGGTCCACATTCAGTACACAGTGCAAGAGATTTGGTATATTTCAATGGCCGGCCATTGTAATGGCTGATGATGATTTTAAGGTTGTATCTACCCTCTGCTTA